GACAAATTTAAACTTTCAAACACCGAGCGGCCACCGATGACCGCAACCCATTGTTCTTTAATTGTGTCTATAATGACGGTACTCAAAGAGTTAAATCGAAATCACCAACGCATCTACCAACCATGGAGATTTTAGGAACAGCCCCAGACCTCATTTGATGGAGGTCCTGGCATATAGACAGCACGATCACACTTAGTTGAAGACACTATCTCCTAAAATAAATGGGTCTATATTAGTAAAAAAATTGTCCAAATGTGTACTTAAACACTCTACTTTATCGCGGAAAACCTAACGGTCGCGGAGAACCTAACGGGTTACCGGGGCTCCGGCTTGAAGTGCAGGAGTAGGAACGGGGTGGTTTTAGTCAGTAAGAGTCTGACACTCCCTCCCGCCTCACCCAGGCGAGAAAAGCCATTCAATGATTTTCTCCCGTTAAAAAAAACTCTACTTTTCTTCGAAAACAATTGTAATTACCACTGTACTAACATCTTCCTCCTCAAATTCCAGGAAGGACTTGGTCTTCGTATCCACTCCATCCACGTCTTAAACGCCAACAGCCTGTTACAACATCTCGTCAGCTTCATGAGGCAGTTCTTCAGCCCCAAGATTATTGACCGTGTGATCGTGCACGAGTCTTTAGATGCCTTGCATATGAGCTTGCCTAAGCGGTACTTGCCTAAAGATTATGGCGGTGACGAGCCTGCTTTGGCGGAATTTAGAGGTAAAACATATTTTTTATAACCATTATTATAACTATGAGAGAGAACAGTTCACTGTGTCCGTTTTACACTTGCCTTTTATCCCCGAAGGGGCAGACCGAGGTGCACATTATGCCACTGTACAATGTAACACCCACTTTTCACTATTTATGTTATGAGTCCCATGCCCGGTATATGGCAATAGGCTCACCCCCTAGGTGAGCCTATTTTCCAGGTGAGGTGAGCATATTATTAATTCCAGGCTCTGTGCTACTTAACTACTATCCGTCTTACTGTCTTATTATTTGAATGTGATTAATAAATTACTCATCGGTTGATTCTCTAGTAGGGTCATTTTCCATATAATTATTGTTTCATCATCATTATCATCATCATCATGATATCAGGCATGAGACGTTCACTGCTGAACAAAGGCCTCCCTCATGACTTCCAGATAGGCTGGTTGTTTAATATTACCATAACCATAGTAAATTAGAGAAATAAATTGCTTTCCTATTAGGTTCTGACATTTTATCAAATTTAAAGACGCAACAACAACAACATAACATCACGCCTTTTATCCCCGAAGGGGTAGGCAGAGGTGCACACAGAGGTAATACCCACTTTTCACTGAGTCCAATGTAATAGGGGGTGAGCCTATTGCCATATACCGGGCACATTTCTAGACTCTGTGCTACTACTGATATCTACTACTCCTTTTAAAAACCCACTTATACATTGCCCGACCCGGGAATCGAACCCGAGACCCCTTGCCCGGCCAACGAGACAGATTTAAAGACGCCTACTGAATGTAGTATAGCATTACACTTGATTGTAATTTCTTTTTAGTTTTAAATAATATTAGTTAAGTAGTTTAAGATAATCTTTTTGATGATGTCGTGGTGGCCCGGAGTTTAAGACGCCTGCTTCTCATGTATGGTGCGGGTTCGAAACTTACCCACAGCAAGTACCAATGTGACTCTTTCCAAGTTACATGTACTTTCTAAGATTACTTAGCCATCACTGACAAACGGTGAAGGTAAACATCGTGAGGAAACCTGGGCTTATAATTTGTAATAGTAACTTTGTAGTCACCAACCCGCATTGAGCAAGTGTGGTGATTAATACTCAAACCTTCTCCGTGTGAGAAGAGGCCTTTGGTCAGCAGTGGGCATTTATAGGCTGTTGATTATTAATCTTTTTGTGCGATAGGGAAGGTTGTTATAGTTGATATAATTATGTCTCTGCCTCGTTGGCCGAGTGATTGCAAGTGCAACTGCCGGGCAAGGGGTCTCGGGTTCAATTCCCGGGTCGGACAAAATATGAGTGGGTTTTAAAAAATTCTTAGTAGTAGCACGGAGTCTGGAATTGTGCCCGGTATATGGCAATAGACTCACCCCCTATTACATGGGACTCATAAAAATAGTGAAAAGCGGGTGTTATATTGTACAGTGGCATAATTTGCACCTCTGCCTACCCCTTCGGGGATAAAAAGCTTATATAATGTATTATGTACATACATAACATCACCAGTATACTGACAAAAATTAAATTAAGAACATTTTTTTATCTGTGGTTGTTACACCGCCACAAATTAAATTAAGAACATTTTTATTTTCAGATAAATATGAAAAAGAAATAAGAAGCACAGTAACAAAGCATTTCCTTATCAACTCTATGAAGATGGTTTCCAACGAAAAGAAGCGCCCCAACGCTGACATCAACGAGGAATATTTGGCTGGATCATTCAGGAAATTAGATTTCGATTAATTTTAATATTTAATGGTCTTTAATTAATGTTAATTAAGTGTAGCTATTAATTATTATTATTATTTTGTTTAATATATTGATTTTATACTTATGGTTTATTCTTGTTTTATTACATTATTGCGATCACTATCATTACGTCCCATTTCACTATCAAAATAGAGCAACGACTGCAATTATTTTAAAATCGCAATCCCATTACAAATTGTCATTGCACATCTGTCTTGACGATGCTCTGTTTTTGTTTTGCCAGTATTAGTACAGTAGTATCATATTAGAATAGGGATCTGATATAAAATCTCATAACATCAGGCCTTTTTACTTCGTAGACAGAGGTGCACATTATGGCACTTAATGCCACTCTACAATGTAACATCTACTTTACGCTATTTATGTTATAAGTCCCATGTAATAGAGGGTGAGCTTATTGTCATATTACCGGGCACAAAGTCTGTGCTACTATTGAGACTTTTTTAAAACCTAGTAACACTTTACCCGGAAATCGAACCCGAGACCCCTTGCCCGGCAGTAGCACTTGCGACCACTCAGCCAACGAGGGAGACTGATATGAAATTGGTTAGGTTAAAAACCTGTCTGCATTCGCTAAGGTTATTGAAAAAAACAAGCTCTATAATTCACTTCATATATTTGAATATCTCACTGATAGATACTTAAAATACTAAACTTAATTAGACTCTTATAAACAAACAAATTACTAACGAAAATAAACAGTGATTCGTATCTATTTAACCTAGGTAAAACATCTGCAAATCAACTGTAGTCATTTTGCTCAATAAAAACTGTCAGTGGTTAGATATACAAGACATAACTCGACAGTGATGCCATCTAGGCATGGCGTTAAATTCAGTTGCAACTTTTATTGAGATGTTGCTATTTTTATAATAATAGTGTTTATCACAATACATAGCGTATTTTAGTATTCATAAGTACGTTTATTTTTTATATCATATCGAGTAATATTTAGATAGGTACTGGCAAAATTTTCGCTTAAATTTCTTTTAGAACTGAATCCATAATATTATAAATAAGACAGAGAGTATTTCCTTCTAATCTAAATCATCATCATCATCATCAGCCCGTATTCGTCTACTGCTGGACATAGGCCTCTCCATTGGCACGCGACTGAGCTCGGTCTTCAGATCTTCTCATCCAACCACTGCAAGCCATCTTGCGAATGTCGTCACTCTACTCTAAATAATGTTTAATAATGACAATTATGTTCTATTATTATTAAGTTAAAATATCACATAGGTACTGACACCCGTATCGGAATACCACAGAATTAATTGGTATAATATTATAGGCCTAAAATGCATTAAATCGACAATGAAACGCAAAAACGCAAAGTGTGGGAGAGCCATGCTTCGGCACGAATGGGCCGGCTCGACCGGAGTGATATCACGGCCTCACAGAAAACCGACGTGAAGCAACGCTTGCGTTGTGTTTCGTCGTGTGAGTGAGGTTACCGGAGGCCCAATTACCCTCCCCTTCCCCAATCTCCCCAATCCCTGAGTCCCTATCGATCCTCAAACTCCTAATCCCCAAAAGGCCGGTAACGCACTTGTAACGCCTCTGGTGTTCCAGGTGTCCATGGGCTACGCCGATTGCTTACCATCAGGTGATCCGTCTCCTCGTTTACCGACTTATGCCATAAAGAATGGAGTCCGGTCTAGATCTTGGTCTTGGCCAGATAGTCTAGACTAGGCAACAGTTCTGTTATAAGTCGTTAATATAAAATAGAGGTGAATTTTAGAACACAATATAAACCTTCGTGGTATTACTTAAGAATTTTTCAATTAATAATTATGTTTTTCGGCTTGCTCGCGTAATTATTTGAAGAGGAACCTGACTAGATTCAAGGCATGCTAGAGGCTCATATTCATGAGCAGCATTCCGCGACCCGCGACGCGGCTACTGTCGCAGCGCGTCAATTACGTGAGTAAGTCGAAAAACATAATTATTAATTTCGTATGTCGTCTCACAAAAGTTATAATTTTTCAATCAACCAAAAGTTTATAATATTTTTGTAGACTTTGCTCTACGACATAACCACTTGACTAACGACGCAGTCACTATTACTGTATTCTGTGAATTTGGTCAACTTCAGATGCCTTACTACAAGATGGTTTTGCGTTTAAATAATTGAAACGAGACTGTACTCGCAGCATTCTGATTGGTTGGTGCATGGGAGCCGGCCAATCAGAACGCCGGTCTCATTACTTTCAACGTAAAACAAAACACGTACTCAGCCCTCGGAAATGAACCGAAACTAAATTCGAAAAGACATCAATCGGTCTTAGATTGGCACTTGCTTAAACACCATAATTACTTAGAAAAAAACACTTAAATCACAACAATAATTGTCTTACTATATTATTTTCCTAATGGCCCGTTTCATAGCTGCTATCCACCAGATAAATCTACGTTTTAACACTATCTGCCAATTAAATTTATCAGGAACTTATTGGGGGACATGCGAATATAGCCTTAAATGTAACTCTAATTGGGTATAAATTAATCTAATTCTAATTTTCTGAAGGTTCCCTCTACACCAAATTCGTCTGTGATTTTTGATGGTGTTATCCTTTTTGATTCGTCCACGAAGAAGTTCTTGTCCTGATTCGCGAAGAATCGCTTCCATGATTCTGATTGGAGGGTTTCATACCATGCGTCTGTAAAAAGAAAATAATTACTCTTTTTTTGTTTTCTTTATCGAACTGTTTGTAAGTTTGAAGCCATGTTCTATATTCAAAACGAACGCGAGTATTTTTTTAATAAGATAATATGTACTAATATTATTTTTTTTCTAGATTGATTATATGTCATCCACAATAACAAGGGAAGAATTTAACAACGATGATCTATTCTTTTTATATTCTTTTTTCAATTAATACTTTAGAAAACGTTTTTGTTTTGTAAATTATCCTAATAAAAGTAAGTATGTAATTTGTTATAATTATTTGCTAATCCTAAAATAATACAATTGTATTGGAACAGAATTGGAAGTAAATTCTAAATAGTGAGATATCTAGTAATTATAATTTGCTAATGCATTTTCTTAGCAAATAATCGGCATATCTACTAAAAAATCACATCCATTTTTTTACTATAAACAAAATAATATTTACATTAATACTATCACTGCTTCGTTGGCCGAGTGATCGCAAGTGAGACTACCGGGCAAGGGGTCTCGAATTCGATTTTCGGGTCGGGCAAAGTATAACAAGTTTTTTAACACAGTAGTAGCATGGAGTCTGGAATTGTGCCCCGTACTACATATTGTGACTCATAACATATGTGCCATTAAGTGCAGTAATATGCACCTTCGGGGATAAAAGGCGTGATGTGAAGTAAAACTATCAACTTACCCGATAACTCCTGGACAGTAGTATTAGCAGTCCCACCAATATCATTTGGAAATATGTCCCTAGGTAACACATTGAAAATCTTCTCAAATCCTTCATAGAGGTGCAATCTCTCTGCATGTTTGGGCTTCATTATCTTCTTGGCAAGGGCCAAGATTGAGTGACCGAAGACCGGTACGTTGACTAGATGTATGCCTTTGATCTTGATCGCGTGACACGACTGGGGGTCAAGAAGGCCGGTGGTTAAACAGGTTTTTTATGAAAAGTCGGGTAAGTAAACAAGTGGCGATTGCTGATATATCTTGGGGCGTTATGACGGCAAAGATTTTTGTGTGAGCCGTGTCTCTAACCTCATGTGCTAAGCGTGTCTTTGCATTGTTCTTACATATGCGTACAGTATTGGAATATGTATCAGAGACATAGTAGAACATACTTTTTTAAAAAGAGTAACGAATGGAGTTTCTTGCTCGTTCTTCTTCATTCGAATCTACATTTTGGAATGAGCACCTAGCTTCACCTAGTTTCACTGACGGACTGACTGACAGACTATTATTTATTTTGTATTTGTTGACGTTTCAAAAGTACCAAATTATGATTTAATTGAAATAAATGCTTTGACTTTGACTTTGACATGCAGATTGGTCGATAAGTGCAGCTTATAAGTATTGAGCAAGGGTTTCAGGATTGTATACATGTTTAGAACTCGTCAATGGTGGTCGCAAGAGCAACTACTGCGCATGGGGTTTTACTCCCGTGTCTGCTAAAGTATCATTAGGGACTTTATACGAAATTTTTTTTTCCACCATCAGCGCAGTACATTTTAATAACATGGAGTCTAAATTGGTGATTAATGCTCGGTATGGCAATGAACTCACTTACTTAATGCATAGAGTTAATATTATTACTGATGAAAAGTAAGCATCTAACTATTGTATGTATTTCAACTAACTCCATCAGGAATTCTTTTTATAGCATAAGCCGGTAAACGATTTGACGGATTACCTATGGTAAGTAATCGGCGCCGCCCATGGACACCCGAAACACCAAGGCGTTACAAGTGCGTTACCAACCTTTTGGGAATTGGGAATTTGAGGATTGTGGAGGATTCGGGGATTCGGGAAACTAGTGAGTTACTGGGGGGGTAATTGGGCCTCCGGTAACCTCACTTATAAGACGAAACACAACGCAAGCGTTGTTGCACATTGGTTTTCTGTGAGACCGTGGTATCACTCCGGTCAAGCGGGCCCATTCGTGCCGAAGCATGGCTCTCTCACACTTAAATGAAATTATTTTAAAGAACTTACCGTAACAAAATAATAAATTTTAGATATCAACATGGGTGTAAACTGTAGTGCATGATTCAGGGTTGCATTACTGAAGTCCAAGATCCAATGGTCTCCATGTGTGACGTCATTAAATAGCCTATAGTCTCCCATCAGGAACCCTATTTTGGCCACATCTAGAACAACCATATCTGGGTTCACGATTCTGGAAAGAGAAAAAAGATATAGAGTTAGAATAGAAGAGTTGTGAAGTAGTCCGGTAATATAGATAAAAATGGTGCATTTGAAAGAAAGAAAAAGCATTTATTCGACAGTAGGCACGCACACAGGTACAAAAATAATACAAAATTAAATAATATGTACTGGGTTTTAAAAAAATTCTCAGTAGTAGCACGGAGTCTGGAACTGTGCCCGGTATATGGCAATAGGCTCACCCCCTATTACATGGGACTCATAACATAAATAGTGAAAAGTGGGTGTCACATTGTACAGTGGTATAATGTGCACCTCTGCCTACCCCTTCGAGGATAAAAAGGCGTGATGTTATGTTATGTAAAAGATAGAAAAAAACATTTATTTGACAATAGACACGCACACAGATACAAAAATAATACAAAACAAAAACTGCGTTTAAAAAAACCGACTTCGAAAACCAAAACCTAAAAACAAGCAAAAGGTCAAAACTAAAAAGCAAAAAATAACTATTATTATTAGTCATACGTACTTATAGGTTACCCACCCACTGATAGGTGAGAAGTAGGTTTTTGTTATTTGATTAACCTTATTTTTGGGAAGTCTGGTAATAGGCTCGAATACTGAAATGTTACTCAATTTGAGTCGCGCTTAAGTATAGTTCTATCTCTACAAATTCTTTGTAAAATGACAGAGATGGCACGATATTTAAGCACGTCTTAAAATTGAGTGACGTTTCAGTATTTCGACATAACATAATAAATAAATAATAAAAATAAAAAGCCTTTTATTTTCAGTACTTAAAGTTTACATTTCTTATAATCTATTTAAGTGTTAGTTTATGTAATTTTAATGTCTATGTTAGTATAATTTGTCTTTCTTTTTATTTATTTATTAAATCTACTGGAACCCCAAGTTGGGTGAAGGCCTCCTCCAATGACTCCCATTTGTCTCTGTCTTTACATAGGTAATACAAAACAATAATGATAAACCAAAAAGAGTAATGAAAAGAATGATACATGGTGGTAGCCTGATCTTAGTAAAAAACTCAATAAAATATAAAGTAAGACAAGATATTGCATTACTATCAATTGAGCACACAATTGAGTTGTCCTGTGTTGAGCTGGATAGGCATATTGTGGTATGTGTTTATAGACCTCCTAACTTGCAGAATCTGAATATTTTTAGCTCAGTAATGGAAGATGTATTACGGAAAACGTGTTCCAATAGTAAATTTACCATAGTATGTGGCGATTTTAATGTTGATCTCTTGGAAAGCAATTCTAATTGTACTAACTTATTGAGTCTCTTTAAATCATTTGATTTGTCTAATGTTTTTCTTCAACCCACCCGAGTAACTTCCACCTCGGCAACATGCATAGATAATGTTTTTTGTAACTGTAATTATTCACATAAAGACATTGTGAATATATTACCATCTGATCACAGTGGGCTGATAGTAGACTTTACCAGTATCACAACTGTACTAAAAAGGATATTCTGTTTAGACAAATCACCAGTAAAAAAGTTGAGTCATTAAATCACAACTTAAAAAATAAATTATGCGGCCAAGTACATGATAGCGAAAACCCAAGTGAAATTTATGCCAACTTGTTGTCTATTATTAAAACACAGTTTAACAAAATGCTCCCTTTAAAACGTAAAACGATTCAATGTAAGTTTGTATTCTGTGACTGGGCTACACCAGGTATTCGTATAAGTAGGGGAAAGCTATTCGAGCTTTACGGTATGAAACCATTAATAATAGTGAGGCTTTTCACTTATATGTCTCAAGTATTCGAAAATATTTAAATTAGTTTGTAAACAGGCTAAAGCAATTTATATTAGTGGTAAAATTAGGACCGCGGAAAACAAAATAAAAACTACCTGGAATATAATTAATAACGAGACAGGTAGAAATAAATTACGTAACGCTGAATTCAATTTAAACACTGAAAATGGACGTATCAGTACAAATTCAAAAGTTGCACAGGAATTTGAAAGCTTCTTTAAAAATACCACATAAAACCACGGAAACGTTAAAATCATCGCCATCTCTCTCTGTTGAGCTTCTTAAAAGCAATGTTACAGAATGCTCTTCTGTTTTTCGCTTTCAGTACACCAACCCTCACGCAGTCATTAAAGCGTTTAAAGATATTAAAGTTAAATCGACTGAAGATCTATGGGGAATGTCGGTTAAGATGTGTCGGTCTTTTATAGAAACTATAGCACCTCATTTGGCTTTCATCTTTAATAAAGGTATAGATCAAGGAATTTTCCCGGATTTAATGAAACATAGTAAAGTGATTCCATTGTTTAAATCCGGTGACAGTGCAGAACCCAACAACTATAGGCCGGTCTCTATTTTACCAGTGCTTAGCAAAGTTTTTGAAAGACTAATGCTCACCCAGATGCTACGTCACTTTAACATTAATGGTATTTTCCATGACCAACAATACGGGTTCACTAAAGGTCGCTGCACTACTGACGCGGGAGTAGCGCTAATTAAGCGGATTTTCGCTTCGTGGGAAGAGACACATGATGCCATTGGCATATTTTGTGATCTATCTAAGGCATTTGACTGTGTTGAGCATGAGACATTATTGCTGAAACTGGAACATTATGGCATTCGAGGGGTATCGCTAAATCTATTAAAATCATACCTTCAGAATAGGCAACTCAAAGTACAAATAAACAAAATAAACTCACAGGGTGCTAGCATATCTATGGGTGTACCGCAGGGCTCGATACTGGGTCCATTCTTATTTTTAACATACATAAATGACTTACCCCATTTATTTAAAAATGAGCCACATATGGTTTTATTTGCTGATGACACTTCATTGGTTTTTAAAATGAATAGACGGACAAATAATTATGACGATGTAAATAACGCCTTAATGAAGGTTCAAAATTGGTTTACATTAAATAATTTAGTATTAAACGATAAAAAGACAAAATGTATTAGATTTGTTTTGCCAAATGTTAAAAGCGGCGAATGTGACATATTATTGAATGATGAGAAATTAGAATTTGTAAAAGAGACTACTTTTCTGGGGATTACTGTAGACGACAAACTGCAATGGGGTCCTCATATTACATCTTTAGCGGGACGATTGAGCTCTGCAGCTTATGCTGTCTGGAAGATCCGACAGTTGACCGACATAGGCACGGCAAGACTAGTGTACTTCAGTTACTTTCATAGCATTATGTCGTATGGCATTCTGCTGTGGGGACACGCTGCTGACATTGAGTCTATCTTTATCTTACAAAAGCGCGCCGTCAGAGCTATCTACAACCTAGGTCGTCGCGAATCTCTCAGAGAGAGGTTTAAAGAGATCAACATTATGACCGTTCCATGTCAATTTATCTATGAAAACATTATGTATGTTAGGAAAAATCTACAGTTATTTGGTAAAGTGTCGGACAGACACCACTATCAAACTAGACATAAGGATAGATTAAGTCAGCCAATTTTGAGATTGGCGAAAGTGGGTAAATCGTTCATGGGATTCTGTGTTAAATGTTATAACAAGATACCAAGCGATATACAGCACCTAAATGAAATGAAGTTTAAATTATGTATAAAAAAAACTTTATGTAGACAAGCATATTACAAAATTAATGATTATATAGAAGATAAAAATGCTTGGATGCACGCTGGTCCAGCTCCACGGGATAACGAAAAACATTGATGTGTCAATGAAATTCAACCTAAATATTACAACGTAGTTGCTTAAATGTATATGGTTTAACTTGCATAATCATTGTTAATGTGAGAGCCCTGTAATTAACTAAATATTAAATTGGACTAGTAGAATGCATTTATGTCAGCTTGGAGTTGTCATGTTCACTCAAAGATCGAATTGGCGGTGGCACGTGCATTGGGTCGCTAGATTCCCTGCAATATGGTTGAGTTGGGCGGTGCTGGTGTACGTGTCATGTTCGTGAACGGGCGCCGTCAACTGTGACTGGTCAGCTCCAGACTGTATTATTTATTGTCTTTAAGGGTTATTTTCTTTTTCGATCTCTTTGGCTAGATTTGGTGTTACATAGTTCTCGCACAATCAAACCAATAAAACTGTGTAACTGAAGAATTGTATTGTGAAACTGATTGGAAAAGAGTAACCTATGGAGTTTCTTGCTCGTTCTTCTCCATAGGAATCTACACCTTGGAATGAGCAAATAGCTTCATTTTTAAATTTCTATTGCTGACGTTCAAAAGTGCCTTCCTGGTCTAATTGAAATAAATGATTTTTGACTTTTTTTTTTGACTTTTGAAACAAAGATTTGGTTAAAAATTTGACCTTGAAAGCATTTGAGGTCTGCCTTAATTTCAAATTTTGAAATCTGACATAGAGTTGTAGTGGGATTTCATTTTGAAAAATCGTAGGCCGCATCATCGCTTACCATCAAGCGAGGTATTGGTCAAACGCCTAGCCAATACCAGAAATAAAAAAAAAATATTTTCATTTCTGGATTACATCATGAAATAAAACTAATAAGTTCGTAACATACTGAAAGTAAGTAAGCCAAGGATACACTAAGGGACAAATTAATGTCCTACGACACATATTATTAGGCTATAACACAACGCAAGCGTTGTTCACGTCAGTTTTCTGTGTGGCCGTGGTAAAACTACGGTCGAGCCGGCCCATTCGTGCCGAAGCATGGCTTTCCCACACGTAAACATATTTAAAACCACTTTTAAAATAACATCATCCAAACAAATGGGAGCTTCTATTACAACTGGCAAGCCAGTAACTCAACTTCAAACTGAGCTAAAATGGCTTGGACGTCAGCTGGAAGTCTTAAAATTTTCATGATCTAAGTCAGGGGTTCTCAACGTTGTCTTGGCCAAGGATCACTTTAATATTCTCCTTTAATACGACTGCCGGACAAGGGGTCAGCTCAGTTACGATTGCCGGGGAGGGCAATGTATTACTGAGTTTAAAAAAAAATCTTAGTAGTAGCACAGAGTCTGAAAATGTGTCCGGTATATGGAAATATGCT